TTGTGCTTCTGCATCCTCAGATCACACTTCCAGCCCCTCTCTGGCCCTTGGGCTCATAGATTCATAGATGTTAGGGCTTGGAAGGGACATCGGATCCTACAGGAAAGACTGCTAGGGTCAGATGATGGATCTTCTTATCTTATGCTCTGGGCTATGGAGCCCCACTCTCAGCCGCTTTTGGGTTACCAGTACTCTAAGTAGGTCTGGAGCTTGCCCTCAGCAGGGCTTATGGGTAAGCCCTGGCACAACTTAACTAAAAGCACCTGTGCCCCCTGGCAGGAACTCAACCCTTTTCTGGGCCTAGCATAAAACCAAGGCCCCCTGCCTATACAAGTGAGCTCCTCTCTGCCCCAGGTACCTTCCCTTGTCCCCAGGCTTGCAGAATGGCTTCCTTCTAGACAATTCAGGAGCTCTGCTGCCTGCCAGGAGTTCCTTTCTTTGTGGTTTTCAGGGCTGGACTGCCTGATGGGCTCAGGCCTGGGGGCTTATATGCTACCAGGCTGGCCTGCTGCTGGTCAGATGGGCTGCTGAGTAACCCTTTACCACCTCAAGCTGCCTCTCCCGCTGCTTGCTCCTTTAAAGGAGCTGGCACACCTCAGTGGCCTGCTACAAACAGGTACAAACCAGGATGTTGCATTATCGAAACCTGTGTTAGCCCAGGTGAGGCCCCAGGCCAAAGCATGGTGCAGCTTTTTAAAAGAACAGATTGCAAGGCATGTTGGCCAGAAGCACACCAGTGACAAGCCAAACCTCACTATAACTTGGTTTGACCACAGTGGCTTTAAATAACTATCAAGTTAGATTATTCGCCCTGCAGAACAGGACTGTTCAGTGAATTGGATTCTATGCCAGGACTTTCAGTATTTGCAGGGTGTGGACAGAAGTCACTTTTGAAACCTTTCCAAGTGTAATGGGCTTGGAAACATGTCAGAAGGGTAGCATTTTAGCTGCAGGGAGAGGAGGTGAAGGGGAGAACAGCCTGTACTGGATGGAGAAGAAAGCAGTGGGCTGGCAGAGGTGCTCTTGGTAGTTGGGATTCTGACACTGTGCCCCCAAGTCCCCTAAACCTCTTCTCTCCCCTGTTCAGCACAGGAGAGAGGTAGAAGTATCAGGACTGGGTGTGGTAGTGGTGGGCTTCCTGGGAGTCGGAGGCATTGGGACCCAGCAGTGCATGCCAGGCTGTCCACCCCATTCTGCCTTCATCCCCCATGAAGGGGGAAGAGAGCACTGTGGGATTCTGGCAGTTCCCTTTTCCTGAGTGCATATAACTAAAGGGAAACATTTCAAAATAGGGCCTGATTTCAGGAGGGATGATCTTGCAGCTCTTCAGCCACTTGTGGACAGAGATGTGGGGCAGAAAATTTTCCATTGCTTTTTTTTTCTGTGGGAAATTTTCCATTTCTAAAAATTCATTGTTTCATAAAATTCATTAGTAACAATGAATGGATGCCAATAGCTGTGACAACAGACATTGCCAAGTACCATGCAAAAGAAAAACTTTGGAGCAAAGACATCATTTCCCCGGCAGCAGAGAATATGTCTCCTCTCACGTGGTGGAAGGGATACTGTAACACCTGACTGTTGTCCAGGATTGCTCTAAGGATCCCAAGCAGTCCACCAACAGCAGCTTCTTGTGAACAGAACTGGTAGGCTTTCAGGTGAATCAGGTCAAAAAAGAGGATTAGACTAACAAATGAATGCACTGCTAAGCTTGTTTGTATTTCTCAAAATCTCTTGCTTCTGGAAAATCAGTCAGAAGCACAATTAGTGAAGAAGATGCAGTGTGATGATAAGTTGCCCTTGCCCACAGACTCATTGGTAAAACCATCCTTTAGCGAAAGAGAATGTGGTTCAAGTAGTTTTGAATCAGATTTGCCTCAATCTGGTTCTAAAATAGAACTAACAATAGTGCTAGTGAGTCTACAGCTAGTGACGGTGAAACTGGAGGTGCCGCAATGACCTCAGTGGAAGAGAGTTGAACTCTGTTGAAGGAGGTAAGTGGACAACCACGGAATATCACGCGCAGTTCGTAGGGTGTGCTAGAATTAGTGTGTCAACAGTTTTCAGTGATTTGTTTTTTTCCCCTTAAATTTAAACAAACAATGTAAGGGAAGTACATGCGATTGTGTATTGTTTTTACATTTTTACAAGTATTCCAGTTAAAATATTTCCTTTCCACATAAAGTTTTGAATTTTTTTGAATATAACATTTAAACCACAATAAGTGTGCTGTATTTAATTTGTTTCCTACTCAAATATTTCAGTTCAAATACTTGTGGCTGTTGGGACATAAAATTAACATGGGGGTATTTTTTAGTTTTGTTTACTAAATATAAGTCAAATCACACTTTATTTAGGGCATTGGAAAAATTTCCAGACAATTTTCCAATTCAAATTTTCCAGAAAACCCACATCTCTGGTTTTGGAATACTTCAAAGGACAAGTGTGGCTGCAGACACATGTAACAGTCAAACCTGTTCCCAAATGTCACTGATTGGGAATGAGCTCACCATTGTCATGGGTCAGAGGTGTCCACACGTACAATGCCCTAGCCTGCCTCCTGGTGGGTGAGTGTAGGGGAGTGCTTGTAGTCCTGAGGGGTGGATGACCTATGGCTGGGGATGTGTCCGCTTTTTCTGCTTTCCCTGCTATCTTAAACATGAGTTCAATAAACTTCAGTTGCCTGCATTTGACCCAAGTCTGCAGTGTGCTTACTGTTTCTTTTTCCATGTCTTTGTGACAAGGTATTGAATAGAATGCAGAGATTCATTGAGATCTGACAGGCTGTGAATGCTTCTGCTATGGCCTTCAGCTATGGCTCTGGGCTGTCAGCTGTGCACCTGAGCTCCCATGCCACTCCAGCCCCATGTGCTTCCCCAGTTTGGGGTAACAGATGCAGGGGGAGGGCTTGGACCCATATGTTTGGGTTCCCAAGGCCTGGGAGAATGCGATTAAGGGGTCACAGTTGAATGATGAGTGAGAATATGGTTGGTTACTAGAAAGATTGGTTTTATTGTACAAATAGCTTGATGGCACTTTTTAAAATCAATACACTCTAACAAAAGGTTGAGGGGGGAGGGGACAGGAGAGTTTGGGCCATGTGCTGCCAGCTATGACCATGCAGGGTGGGGGGAAGAGAAGCTGTGCAGCATGGTGTGCTTGGAGGAGTAACCAGACCCATGTCACAGGGCACTCAGTGGCCACATGTAACATTAAACTGGTTGCAATGTGAACCAGGTCAGCAGAGTACCTGGTTTTCCAGGTGGGGTTTGGAACTGTGCCAGGCACAAATTAACAGTGTGGAATGTCCGTCTGCTTCAGATTTAAGCCATACTTAGCGCCAGCAAAGTGTTACGTTTGTTCATGCCCCATGTTTCAGCAGCTGACCCTGTGGAATATTTCAAAGGCATTTGAAATGTTTCAGTTGTTACTTCTGTCCACACCTGTAGGGTGCATCTGCATAGGCCAATGCACTGTGAGCTTGCTTTGAGTTAGCTTTGGCACAAGAAGCAGAATAGCCATGATAATGCATTTCTGCTTCAGCATGAGTACCAGAAATGGTTGAACCCAGGGGTGCACAAAATATGGCCTGCAGGCTGGATCTGGCCCATCAAGGGATTCTGTCTGGCTTGCGGCAGGTCCCTCAGCCCTGCCCAGCCCAGGTGTGGGGAGCAGCTGGTCCCACCACCCCTGGGTGCATGGTGGGGTGGGGGCAGCACAGTAGCTGGGCTCTGTTTCCTGGCAGCCCCTACAGCAGCAGCACCTTCAAGCTGCTACTGCTAGTGCCACCACTGAACCTGACCCTGCTGCCCAGGAACCCCAGCCTCTCCACCCTGCACCCACCACTGAGGGCACCAGGTGGAGTGAGTGAGTTGGGTCTCTGTGGAAACCAGCCCAAGACTTCCATGGCCAGGGTGCACTCAGCTGGGCAGATGGGATGTGACTGTGGGCGGATAGTGGCATGGGCAGGGCAAAGCTGGCATCTCAGGGCAGTGACAGCGAGGCAGAACTGCAATCCACTCCCCTGCTCTGCACCAGGTTAGGTCAATGCCCCTCCCAGCTCACAACAGCTCTCCGAAATTCCTGAAGTGGCCCTTCAGCCAAAATAATTGCCCACCCCAGATATAGGCACATTAATACAGTGCTTTGCCCAGGCTCATGTACTCTGCCTCTCAGCAGGGCTTATTAGCCTGAGTGTGATACTGTGCAAGGGTGCTGCTTCAAGTACCTGAACTATCATGGATATAACATTGTGCTGTGCAGATGGACCTGTGGTGTGTGTGGAAGCTGCTTTCTTCTTTCTAGCTTTGTCAGTGTCCTAAACATACACCACTTCTCCTTGTCTGCCCCCAGCACTTCCTAAAAGCCCCAGATAACAACAGTGAATAAATGCCAACTATTCTATGATGCTGGTGCCTGACTGGAATTAGCAAAAATCCAGGTTTTTTTGCTGACAAAATCTAGGAGCCTTTAGGAAAACCAAATACAACAGTCCACTTTAGCTCATTTCCAGTGTTCAGTAACAAAAGCAACTTGAAGCCACACAAATATAAATATGTAAAGTGTTCGAGGCAACATGGACTGAGAGTCCTGAGTATAGTGTTGTTATACTCCTAGCTTTGTAAGCAAAGTGCTGTGTGACATTGGGCAAGTCACTTTGCTTCTATGCTTCTTCTCCCTGCCTTTGCCTTTTCATAGCACGGCAGTTTAGATTGCCAGTTTGGTGGTGAAGGGATTCTCTTATGCTTCTGCCAAAATGAGGCCTACATACTACTGTAATTTAACTAATAACAATAATAGAAAATGCAGCTATGACAATCACGGTGTTAATAAGGAAGCTCTTCTTCCTACATGAGAACTCTGAAGCAGAGGTAACTATGTATCAGTTTGATTTGAGATGAACTGTTACAGAGCACGTCAGAAAGGAAAAGTATGACATGCATATAATAGTGTATATTTTATTTGAGATCCGTACATTAAATTGTTTTCTTTTTAGATGTCCACAATACTGATTGCTGGGAGGAGTACCAAAAGGGATCTAGCCAGTAGAAACATATGGACCATTAAATCTTCTAAAAATGAAGTGGTTCACACCTTACTACTGGAATCTGCAACGTTGCAAGGAAGGTAAGTGATTCTTTTTGGTTGCTCTCAGGAGCAAATGAACTAGTCAGTATATTAGAGCCTGGATTATACAAAACGATCAGGATAGGTGCTGGCATGCTCCAATACCGAATGCTCTTGAAACAGTACAACCTGATAGCATGTACCCATGGATCTGCAGGTCTTACCATTTGGAAACAGAAAATATTTGGTAAGTGACATACAATTTCCTCTTTAATGAGTGCTGCCTTCATGGTTAATTAAATGTCTCTTGTTTAATGATATGGCACAAACAGATTTTTATTTTTTCATTTTGTGACATTCAAAAAAGTTTTTCTTTTTTTGGCATTCATTAAAAAGGCCTTCAGTGTACTTGTGTGTTTGGCTATCAAGCATGAAATGCTGACATCTTTCCAACAGAGCTGCAGTCATTGTCTTGGAAGTTCACAAGGTGAGAAGCCCTTTTTAGCTAGCAATAATCGTGAAATGTATTTGAAAATGTCTCTAATTATAATTGACATTTCTCGAGCCCTGTATGGGTGGTAATTATCTTTGAGAACAGTAACATGGCTAGTAATGCTAGATGAAGGAGAGAGGTTCATGTCAAAAGCTTTAAATCCTTTTTCCTCAAATACAGAATGTAATGTTTGAGTAATTGCAATTTAATTAAAATAATGAGGTAAAACAGGTTTGTAGGGTTTGTGTTTTTTTCTAGGGTGTACTTTTGGTCTGTGTGTGACAGTCACAAAGGCAACCACGTAGCTCCCATTTTAAATCCTTTAACTTGGGGAATAACAGAAATTAAAATGCAAAATGCCAGAACAAGACCTCTATGAAATAAAAATGGAGGATTATTGTAACAGTACAACTCAGGAAAAAGTTAATCAGATAAAGCTGAAGTAAGGTTTTTCTTTTCCTTCTTAACTTATTCAAAAGTAATCCATAAGAAGAGGCATGTGACTGTAAGCCAAAATTCCCTCTCGATGTTAATCCTGATTTTAATTAGTAACCTTTACTCCTCCCTTGTTGTAGGCTCCTAGAAAGCATTGGCTCTTAAATGCCTTCCTATTCTATTACTCAGTTGATAATTACATTTTTTTCAGTTACATTTTTACATTTTAGTGTAATTTTCAATTACCTTTTTAAAAAAAATGAATACTTACGAAAGTCAGAGCCTTAGTAGGACTTGTAGGAAGTGCACAAAATAGTCATTTTACAAGATTTACTCTTAGTGTGAAGTCCTTTCCGAATCCCTACTGTTTAGGTCTCTGACCTCTCTTGAACTGATAGTGCCTAAGGTGGGACTTTTTTTTGTTTTTTTTTTGATGTGTCAAGAAAACCTGGTATGAAAACTGAAATTGAGCCACAACTTAGATTAGGGCTTCAGAAGTGAATGAAACCCCCCAAAACAGAGTTATGGGTTGATATTTATCAATTTACCGTATTTACTCTATTCTAAGAGGAGGGTACCCCCCCATTCATTATGGGAAAACAAAGCCTTGTCTTAGAATTCTCTATCACAGCTGGAAGCCGTGAGACATGGCGGTGCAGGGAGCCCAGCTGGGGCAGGGACAGCAATAGCCAGCAGCAGCAGCTCTGTTCCCTGCTCAAATTCCCTCCTCCCTCCCTTCCCTTCCCTCCCTCTCCCTTCCCCTCCTGTGCTGTCAAGCAGCCAGGTTCGGGAAGGAGGAGTCTGCCTGCTGCTGCTTTGGTCTCCAGTCTGCCTCATGCTACAGGAAGCATCTGTGCTGAGAGCCTGGCTTGGCGCCCTGCAGATTTATCCTTCCCTGCCCTGCTCCCTTTCTCCACCCCCCCATTCTCCTGTCTTCACATGGAAGGAGAAA